ATTTCATTTTTCTGGTGTTCGAACAAGTGTTTTCTTTTGAGTAGAAACTCTTCAAATGTTCTATAATTCCGAGCGCTTTCGGCAATACTTTTAGTCATTATCAAGGATAATTTTATTTTTTTTAATTTAATTGGGTGTATGGTTTGTGTGTATTTTTTCTAGAGTTATAGGGATGTTTTATTTTCCGAATACTGTTCGTACATTTTGGTCGTGTTCGTAGTTAATATTATTGTTGGCTTTTTCTTTTTTATTATTAAGACTTTCATTACTTTTTTTTATCTTTTTTACATGTGGATGAAGTTATTATGTTTGTATTTTCTCCTACTAGTATGTTTCTGTTGGAGTCTGGTAAGTTTGCGTGTGTACTTAAATGGATTCTAACTGAGCTGTGGTCAAATAGGTGTAATATAAGGCGTCTGGAATCGTGTGACCGATGTAATTATTTATGAATTCAGTTTGATCAGGAACACAATTCCTTAAGGGGCATTTGAACTTATAGATAATGTTCGTTTGTTATCATTTTTCATTTTGCTGGGTGTTGTTATTTTTGAGGATAAGGTTAGCTGTTTTAAATTTTTTGTTGTAAATAATTTGATTTTTATGTTCAGGTCACTTGGGGAAGTGTATTCCTTTATAATATTTCTAAATGAAGATTCATCTTGTTTGTAATTGATGTGCATTGTTTCTGTAGGAAATATTTATGTTATTTTTGACTGCGTGTTCACTATCGTTCTTATTTACTTTGGGTAGAAATAGTCTAATTTGGTGGTCTATAAGGTGGATAGGGAAGCCATTGTTAATTATTGTCTGTTTTACATTATTAAGTTCTTTAAGGAAGAGTATCCAAGAGGATGAATTCTGGTGTGAATTTAGGAAGTTTTTAATTACTGCTATTTTGTATCTGATTGGGCATTCACCTTTAAAGTTAAGGTGCCAAGAGTTTCTGCTCGTGGTTTTTTTTATATAATGAGGTGTTAAAAGTGTTGCTACTATATTCTACGAGAACATTTAAGTTTATTTTTTGACTAAGTTCGTAGGTAGAGTTAAGGACAGAGTTTTTTCAAATGTAGTCTTGATAGTATCTATTTCTTTAGTGATATTTGCTAAAATAAAAATATTGTCTACGTAGGTTTTTAGGTTTACAGACCTGTTTAAATATCATATTTTCTACATGGGACATGTAATAATTGGAAAAACATGGAGCGAGTGGATTTCCCAAACTAATACCATTAGTCTGGGTGTAAATGTTGCTATTATGCTCATAGAATGGGACTTTGGTAGTGCATGCGTGTAGTAATTTTTTGAGTATAAATGGTTTGATGGATGGCGGAGAGGTAGACTTATTCGTATACACAGAATTGAGGATAGTGTCAATGGTTCGATCGACGGGGACATTTGTAAATACATTTTCGACGTTAGGATACTTTTGTTTGGTTTACTAGTTTTTTAAAATTTGGAGGAATTCGTGGGTGGATATGATTCTGTAATTGGCGGGTAGGTATGGAGTGATGATGTCGTTCAGGAATTTCGATAGCTCATATATAAGAGTTGGGATCTAGGAAATGATTGGTCGTAGATGGTATCTGGGTTTATATGTCCTTCTTGTATATATAAATATATATATGTGTGTGTGTGTATTTTTTACTTTAATAAATATGAATATGTGTATGCGTGTGTTTCCCTTTAGTATATGTGTATGAGTGTTTTTCTTTTATATATATAATTTTGTTTTCCTTTTGTATATAGGTGTGTGCTTTTCCTTTAATATATATATATATATATATATATATATATATATATATATATATATGTGTGTGTGTGTGTGTGTTTGTCTTTTCTTTTATATATATATTTCTTACATAAATTTTTCTTATATATATATATATATATATGCATATATATATATATATATGTATATATATTTTTTAAATATATATACGTCTTTTTTTTATATATATATGCATATTTTCTTTAATATATATATTTCCTTTACTATGCATATATATATTTTTTAATATATATATATATATATATATATATATATATATATATATATATATATATATATTTTTTAATATATATGTTTCTTTAAATATATATATATTATTTGATATATATATATATATATATGTTTTTTCGTATATATATATATATATTTTTTCTGATATATACACGTATATATTTCTTGAATATATATTTCTTTAAATATATATATAATTTGTTTTAATATATATATGTTCTCTGCTATATATATATATATATATATATATATATATACATGCATTTGTGCATACAATTAAGAAAGTACAAAATGTGTCTTTTCAATATAGAAGTTTATACGCTTAGGGCTACGTGTGAATTTTGGCAAATATAGGATGGGGCTATATGTCTTTCCTTTTATTTCTTTGTTTTATTTCACCAAAACCACTTCATTTTTGTTACGATTCACTGCACCTATCATCTCCTCTCACTGTGTTCGCAGACTTCTGTGTTTCTCTTTGTTTCTCCATTTTTCCCCATGTCCCTCGTTTTACTTAAGATCAATTAATTGTTGCTTCCGTTTTTTCTTGCTAAATTGAAATGTATTTATGTTTTCGTGGTAATAATTTTATGAGCTTATTGAATTTTTGCTAATGTTTTGAATGTTTTTGGTTTTAGCTCCCCACACCAATCCAGAAAATCATTAAATATTTCTGAATTTTTTCCTTCTTCTGAAGGGTCATGGCACATCGAAGGCGATCATGGTTTTCTACATTTTCCGGTCTTTTGTAGCTCTTAATAAATTCTGTCTTTTTTTTTTATATAATTTCTCCTAAATCTTATTCCCCAATCCCTTTACTCAGGCTCACTAAGTAGGTTGTACGTCGCTTTCCTCTGTTCCTCTTGCCTTCAATCTCTCCTGTCAATATCAGATTATCCAAGTCCTCTTTCGTCATTATTTACCGTAGAAATTTCAATTGTCTCTTTCTGAAGTTTTCGATTTCGATTTTCTCTAAAAATTCGCTGTTGCTCACGTGTTAGGACCATGGTATCCTCAGCATCCTTCTGTAGAATTATATTTCTGTTCTTTCAAGTCTTTTCTTCGTCTCCGACGAGGTTATTCAACATTCACTGCCATAAAGGAGGACTGATATTACGTAACATTTCAGTACACTTTTCTTTGTTTCTGATGAAAAAACAAGCAGAAAATAAAGGATTTAAAGTTTGAAAAGAAATATCATCTAATTTCATGGAATTCCCTTTCATTCTTTACTTCCTTTATTTCTTCATTCATTCCTTCATTCATTCCCTCATTCGTTCCATCATTCATCGATTCCTTTATATTTAATTCTTTATTCACCCATTCCTTCATTTCTTTAATTCATTCCTTTATTATTTATTCTTTATTCATTCCTTTATTTACAATAATTACTCAATTCATTCGTTCCTTTATTCTATTCATTCTTTTATTCATTCTTTATTATTTAATTATTTATTTATTCCTTTATTCAGCCATTCATTACTTCATTCATTCCTTTGATTATTAATTCTTTTATTCATTCAATCCTTTATTTATACTCCTTCATTCCTTTATTTATTCATTATTTCTTTCATCTTTGTAACCTCTTTTCGTTCATTTGTCTTTAGTAATCGTCTGCTCATGTACTTTTTCTTTTTAATGTACTCTTTTTTCTGTTATTTTGGCGCACAGACTATTATCCATTTTTATTTTCTATTTATTAAAAATACGTTTCTTTATTTCTATCGTCTCGTCTAAATTGTCGTAGGTGATATACCCATGGATGAATGGTTCGATATCAGAAAGGTCCAGTCTTCTTGCTCGATCCCTAAGAGTCCATTATTTTCTGTTACGGCTCGAAGTGTGTGTGAGGAAAGGGGCAGTTCCTTTTGTCGAGACGACATGCGAGGTGGATTTGTATTCAGAGTTTTCTTCTCCTAGACTGTTTGCCAGCCAAGGCTATCGGACCCAGTCCGTCCTGCTATTAAACCAAAATGGGTGGAGAAGAGATGGATTTATATCTTTTCCAAGGGTGCCCGTAAATGAATGCAATGACTCGACTTGAATTCGAACTCGGCTCTCCGATTCCTTCCTCTCTGATTCGCTACTCCACTGTTCATCCACCATTACCCCACCGTACCTTTTATAATTAGTAATCGTAATATTAAAAAGAAACGGTAATTATTTTAAATTTTACAATGATACATGTTTCTTCTTTTGAAATTTTACTGATACTTTTCTTCTTTATTTCCTTTCTTCGCCACTTTTCGTCTCTCTTGACATTTTTTAACAGCTTCTGTCTACTTCACCCATTTGTTTCCTTCTCAATATGCTTTTGGCATTTTTTTTTTGTTTCTGAAATCTTTCGCCTTTCCTGCTATTCTGTTCGGTTAGTCTCTTTAGCCCTCTTCCTGGTTTTTCTTCCTTTTTATACCCTCCTTAGCGTTTCTTGTTTTTCTTCAATATTTTTCCTTCTCCAACCTCCGCCCCTTCATCCGCTCCTTCATCTCCCAATCTCTAATCCCTCTCCGGTCTATAGAGTAATGTTGAGGTAAAAGAGGTGGGGGGCATATTCGATGTTTTGAAACAGTCCATCCAATCATACGAGGAAATTGGGAAAAAAAGAAGGTAGGGGTTGCATGCCGATCGTGCTCGGAATCAGGCTCCCCACCCCACCCTAGCGGCGCAGCTATAGGGTCAGATCAACGAGCATGGCGCCCCTCGTGTAGGTGCGGACTCATCGAGACGGGTCCGCAATCTTCGACGCCAATGTTGATGGCGTCTGCGTCACAAAGTGCCAGGGAGCGCCACAATGCGATGTTTACCATGTATTTGCATCAATTCAAAACCGGTGTCACAGAGGGGCTGGCATTTAATGGTGAGTCTGAGAGCTGGCGGGGGTATTGTTGTGCATGGTGCTGCTAGATTAGACGATTTCTAGAGGCAGGAGTAAACCTAACTGGGTTCAGGGTTTGGCGGTAAGGTTGGGGGGTGGGGTTGATTATGGATGGGAATGAAGCGAATTTGCATTGTTTAAGGTAGAAGAAGAATGTAAAGTTAGATTGAAGAGAAATGTTCCGCGAGATGAGTAAGAAAGAAAAGAGGGGGCGGTGTTAAAGCGATAAAGAAACAGCGTGACATGAGGGGTAAGAAGGAAAGAATAAATTGAGAAAGGCACGGTAAAGGAAAACAAAGGATATATCAAGGAAGTAAACTTTTCTTTGACATGAAACTGACAGATAGTGAGATAAATGAAACTGACAAAACGAGATAAATAAATAAAAAATATGATATTAAAATGAAGATGAAGAGATATAAAGTTTAAGATGTACAGAGTAATGTTGATGACATAGAATAATATAGCTAGCTAGGTAGCTAGATAAATAGAAAAACCTGATATTAAATTGAAGATGAACAGAGTAATGTTGATGAGATAGATAGGTTTAAAGACAGGCAGGCAGGCAAATAGATAGATAGATAGATAGATAGATAGATAGATAGATAGATAGATAGAGAGATAGATAGATAGATAAAAGCTGCTATTAAAATGAAGATGTGCAAAATATTGTTGATGAGATAGTGTTGTGGTAAACCCTCCTACAATAGAATGAACTCTTCCTCCTCTCATAAATACTAATTATGAGAGTCGGTTGAGAATGGAATTAGGTAGACGCAGTGCTAACCTGCCGTTCGGACCTACACCGCTATCTACTTATTACTAACACTCTTGCTTTGTATATATCTTCAATATACTTGTTCACCCTACCTTCATCTTCCGTGTCTTTCTTTCTGGCCCTTAAACAGGCCACAACAGATAGATAGAAACAAATTGGTCTTAAGATGAAGATGAACGGACATAAACATAACATAATAGAGTAATGTAGAGGACACAGAATGAGATAGACAGAAAAAGATTCTATAAAGATGGGGATAAAGAGTATTCATAGATAGATAGATAGATAGATAGATAGATAGATAGGTGAATAAAAAAGCTTTTATTAAAATGAAGCCGAATAGAGTAATGTTGATTAAATTTATATAGATAGATAGAAAGAAAAAAGCTTCTATCAGAATGAAGATGATCTGATATAAAGTTCATGATGAAGCAAGTAATGTTGATGACACAGAATAAGAAGGATAGATAGAGAATGATGGAGAAAGAAAAAATAAAGAAATGGGAGAAAAAAATTGATATTGAACAAGGAAAAAAAAGGGAAAAGAAGTCAGAAATATGACTATAACCCGAATGAACAAAAGCCACAAAAGCGTTGCGAAAACTGATTTAATAAGAATAAAATGAAAGCAAAAATACCCCCCCCCAAAAAAAAAACAAAAAAACAAATATCGAAAATTAATAAAAAATAAAAAAAAGGAGGAATCAGGAAAGAAATGAGCCTTGCCTCACTCTTGAAAAAGTTGGCATAGGTCAGTGTACGCACCCAAATAAAAAGCAGAATTTCGAAGGCTAGCTTTCTTGGTAAGTAGGTTTTCCCACCTTGAATGACTGGCGTAACACAGTATTCCTTGCTCAATTTATTCCCACTTGACATTGGGGAGACTAAGTTAAGATTATGAAATATCATGAACAAAAAAGACAAAATTATATTAAAAATTAAATGAAACAAAAATATAGAGAAGCGATTTCGAAAGTAGATAGTTATGTACAGATGAGTAGATGGATGGATAGAGACAATTAAGGAGATAGATAGATAGATAGAAACAAGAGATCAGATACATAGGAGCAATAAAGCAGATAGATAGATAGATAGATAGATAGATAGATAGATAGATAGATAGGAACAATAAAACAGATAGATAGATAGATAGATAGATAGGAACAATAAAACAGATAGATAGATAGATAGGAACAATAAAACAGATAGATAGATAGATAGATAGATAGATAGATAGATAGATAGATAGATAGATAGGAACAATAAAACAGATAGATAGATAGATAGATAGATAGATAGATAGATAGGAACAATAAAGCAGATAAAAATAATAAATCAGATAGGTAAGAACAATAAAGCAGGTAGGAATAATATCATAGATAGATCTAAAGATATGAACAACTGAAATAAATAATAGAGAGATGGAGATATACATAGGATTTTTATGTATAAATAAACATAGCATATAATAAATATTTTTGTTCATAAGTAAACCCAAATGCATACAATTACTGTCACAATAACATTTAAAACTGAATAAATTAATATTTTATTAAATGTTAATATGCGTTCATTGATTCTTTGTAATCTTCATTCACCTTTTTTATCTGACCATTTTGTTAAATTTTCTACTGTTTCGAATTTACGTTCAGCAATTTTATTGCTTACAAAAAATCTTTACGTGACTCTTATCTAATTGTCACAAATGTCTTTTTAATGATGGACAACGTGTTAACCATGTTTGCCGTAGTCTTTGAATATAGAATCCAGTGAAGTCCGTAATGTGTTCAATATCAGTGGTTGGCAGTGAAGATTCAGAGAAAGTAGCAGCTGTTAAGTAATTCTTTAAGTCTTCGATATCAGAGGTTGGCAGTGAAGATTCAGAGAAAGTAGCAGCTGTTAAGTAATTCTTGAAGTCTTCGATATCAGAGGTTGGCAGTGAAGATATTTTAGGAGAAAAAAACAAAATGGCTGCCTTTATACACGTCGGATTGAATATTTTGTGCTTTCTGATTGGTTAACCCTTCTTTTGGTGGACTATAAAATGAGTCAGCTCATTTTGGCTAGATCACTAGTACACAAAGTACCCCAAAATTCTAACAAAACGTGCTTCCCGTTAGATTAATGTTTGCAGAAACTGGATTCTATTATAATTTGGTATGTTTGAAAAGATTTTTGTGAGGTGGGAAGTAAGCTGGGTGCCCGTCAGTATTTTAAAGTATAGTCCTGCATATATACTCCTTGACCTTTAAAGCGTCTTAATTGTGATCTATACTAAGATGTCTAAACATACCGATAATTCAATGTACTCTGACATCATTATCAACTTATAATCTATTTTTCTTTCTTATTTACCTACTAGTTTTTCTCCCATCTCTTTTTGAGGCGCTACTAACGCCAGATTTCTTTTTATTGCTCTTATCTTTCCAGTGTTTCGAATTGATATTTGTTTACTTTTTGTAATGTTTCTGCAACTATTTTGCAATTTACAATATTTTATTCTCATCATTCAATAACTTTACAATATCTTTTCCTCCTTTAGATGTTATATCCTTCTTTTTCTTACGTCCCATGGAACTTTTTTTAAATCATTTCACCCCAAGCAAGACGTGAGTGTCACTAGTAAGCAGAAGGTTGCAGGGAATGAAAGTGAGAGAAAAGACTGGGTATAGATTGAGGAAAGGATAACACATGAACGGGGTTCAAGACAACAGAAGATGGCAATTGACGATGCATTTAAATTTTTGAAGATTGTAATTATCAGGGATACAAGTAAGAGGAAGGGAGTTCCACTGTTGGGAAGTGCAAGAAAAGAAACTTTTAGAGTAGAAGTGGCGGTTACGCTTAACTATTTCAACAGTAAAAGGATGGGACATAGAAGCCAATCTAGTAGCACGATTAAATTTATGTAGTCGGAGCATCAGGGGAAAAAACTTGTCAGAGCAGATGCCATGAAAATATTTATAGAAAAGACAGAAGGAAGCCACACCACGTCTGTGAGAAAGTGACTGAAGTCGAGATCGATTACATTGAAGATTCTTCTTTGGATTTTGTCAAGAACCTCGAGGTGAAAAGCAAGGGCACCAGACCAGATATGGCAACAGTATTCAATACACGGACGAATGGCAGATTTGTAAATGTGCAAGATGGACTCTGACGCGAAAAACCTGTCAGGTCTCAATGATTATATGAATTTTTTCTTATTACTTTAAATGTTATAGTTAGCGTATACGCGTGTTTGAGTAGACATCTACGCTTTTTAAATCTATGTTTACCGGCATGTGCTTTCGAGAGTCTTAAAAAAAACACCTTGCAGCAGGGTTTGAAACTGACCCGTTTAAAAACGCTCTTTACATCTGTCAACATATTTTTGTATTCGATGGAATTTCTAACGAATGAATGGATTTTATTTATAAAAATGTTTTCTTTTATTAAGACTTTCGAATGCACAAGCCAGTAGATATATGCCTAGAATATTTATAAAAACACGGAAGCCTGCCAAAACAGGTGTGTCCACTAAATATAACGTTTAAAATAATAAAACATAATGTCGGATTGTAAATAATCAGTTCCTCATATATATATATATATATATATATATATATATATATATATATATATATATTATAAAAAAATGACGGAACGCATTCTTTAAAAAGGAATCTTTTAGGTTTTTTTTTTTTTTTTTTTTTACATTTCTTTAGAAATATTCGTTAGAACAAAACTAAACACACCCAAAATTCTCAATTTCAATTAATTTCTCAACAATGTGACGTGACTTCTCTCTGTCTTTTCTACAAATATTTTCATAGCAACTGTTTATATCAGCTTTTTTCCTGGGGTCCCCACTACATGCATTTAAGTGTGCTATTAGACTGGTCCCAACCCTTTACTGTTGAAATTGATTAAATGTAACCGCCACCTTTATTCCAATACATTCTTTAGTCGTACTTCCCGCCTGTGGAACTCTTATCCATTTTCTTTTTCAGTACCTTTTGCAGAAAAACATCCCCGACCCATGAAGTTGCCACGACTAAATTTCACTGTTGGAATTGTGTTCGTTTGTTTGAGGAATCTTTCCTCCATATATGATTTCTAGAATCACGTCCAAACAATTCAATTTTGGTTTCATCTGTCCATAATACTCTTTCCCAATACGAATTTTCCTTATCCTTATGTTCCGGATATGGAGTTTGAGTCCCTGGGTCTCACGCTTTTGCTGATGATCGCAAAAGCGTGAAACCCACGGTCACAAATTCATATCCATACCACTGAATATATTAACTATCACTGATATTGAGCGCTTTCCACTAAGTCCTGCGCATATAAAACAATATATATATATATATATATATATATATATATATATATATATATATAAGCATATATTTCATATTACAAAGAGTTAAACATCAATTGAATCAATTAGCAATATTAATGCAATTATTGGCGAAATCCCTTCGTTGGTAGACATAATTATAAGCATTATACTACTAATAATCCACTGAATGATGAGATCCTTATATATAATATATATATATAACACCATATCCATTTCATACATAAGGATCTCATCATTCAGTGGATTATTAGTCGTATAATGCTTATAATTATGTCTACCAGCGAAGGGATTTCGCCAATAATTGAATTAATATTGCTTTTTGTAATATATATATATATATATATATATATATATATATATATATATATATAGATAGATAGATAGATAGATAGATATATCTCCGTCGAAATTTTCACGCAACCAGATAAGTTATTGAAAATATATCTAATAAAAACATTTTAAGCAGAAATTCATCTCATAGTCATTTTAATATCAGTTTCTTATTACAAGTTTTTATTGTGAAAATATCGACTTGAATAATAAAATCTGAAATAGTGATGGAGATGGAATGTAATAGGGGTGCAGAAAAGTTTCGGTCCAACCAAGATGAATTTAAAAACGATTTCTGATATTTAGTTATTTGGCCAGATTTTTGAAAGTGTGTCGGACCGAGTACATTTCAGCACCCCTCGTAAAAAGAAAAATACACATTCATTCATGCATGCATATATATATATATATATATATATATATATATATATATATAGAGAGAGAGAGAGAGAGAGAGAGAGAGAGAGAGAGAGAGAGAGAGAAAAGAGAGAGAGAGAGAAAGGGTAGTAGGAATGAAAACAAAGAGGAAACATGAGATCGCGAAGAGACGGGAATTAGGCGAGCGCAAATTTTGCACTTTTAAATTATTTGTATTATGTATAGCACCAAAACGAGCTTTGCTTTCCGTTTCCCGTTGTTCTATTCAAATGCGTTTCACCTCTTTTCATTTGTCATTATTATCATCCCAATAATCACGTGACTTTCATGCCGCTACCCACTTCTACTTTCACTTTCTATTTTAATTTCCAAGTTCCCTGTCTTCCCTGTCGCTTTCAACTCGTCTACGTACTCTCCTTTTTAACGGTAAAGCAATAGCAGACGCCCACCGGGGAGACTGCAGTGCACCACGGGAATGCAGGAACCGAAAACCTAGAAGGGACAAGAGTAAAATGCATAAAAAAAGTCCACGCGTTAATTCTTCTAAACACGATAGGCATTTACGCCCCTAATTTCACACCATCCGCCCACTTTGAATATTTCTGCTGGGCCCACTCTGACTAAAGCTAATATCATTATTACCATCAATTCTTTTGCTACATCATTCACTCCCACCACTTATAAGACTCCTATCTTTTCTATTATTACCTCTACTTCTACTTTGCACACTCACGCATACAAATAGGCCATTATTATTTAGACATATTGAATTTTCACATCAGTTCTAACTGATGGTTTATCAGGAAGATCAAGTGACAGTAAGTCTCTTCAATAATTTACAACACCTAACAGGATTCTGTTTTCACTAATGCTGTCTTCTAGATGTTTTCGGCTGTTCCTCGGATTATCATCTTATTGCCCGTTTGTTTTGTCAGGCGCTTTGAGGACATTCTTATCCTCTTCAGCAACCATGAGCACGGCTGTCATCCTCATGGCCAGCGTTTTGTTAGTTCTGTAACGAGTCCTAGATATAATTTTTCTTTTGTTTTTACAAACTTACTATGTGGTTCCCAGAAGCGTGGAACTAATAAATTTTCTTCCTGATTATTAGATCTATATTAAGTGATCCTTTGAATACGACAGTATTATATATTTTTTATCTTTCTAAAATTGTTTCTGACTTGTGCGTAAACCAGCGATGGTTATAGTTAAGTTATTTGCATTGTTCTCAGTAGATCCACATCCTACCCGGTCATGTCTATTGATTTTAATTCTTCCCGAATCAAATGAGTGCGTTTGTTTATTGATTGGCAGTCTCAACACTTTTTCCACGCA